ATTTAGACAATTCTCATAATTTTTGCAAAAGGCTGTATATAAACACTATATTGCACTATTATTATATTTTGATGTTTGAAAAACAATGAATATTGACAGTTATGAGTGAAGTTACTAAATCTGTGAAAGAAAATTATGGGACTATGTCTCCTTAGCAGCCTATACATGTAGCCTCTTTTTCCCTCTTTTTTTCATTTAAGTACAAATATCATTTAAACAGGCTGAGCTAATATTCAAAGTATTTCACAATGTTTTGAGGTGATAGCATTCAATTTTTACAGATTTAGTATCTTTGCTTGTTAAGATCACCTTTATTTGATATTTACTTGTACAATTGAGAGTTATCGTTATAGTAGAGAATAATTAGTGATTAGAGCTGTATTTATTTGTGAAATTAACCTATATTTATTTCTACCATGTAGAATGATTRTTATTTGTGAATCGTAATTTATTTCACATTAAAAGCATTCTGTATTCAAAACATTGAAATAACAGTCATTGCTGTCTTCATGGTTGGTACTTCAACCATAGTTCATAGAGGGAAATTTTGTTGTACTTCTTTTGTACATTTTTTGTATGTATTTTGAGGTTTAATCAGTCAAGACCTTGCACAACTTTTTTTTACAGATGATGGAAATTGCAAAATGAATAAATATAAACACTATGAGATTATGAAATGAAATACTCCCATATTGGTTAAAAATGTGAAACCAAACAGGCAAAAATTGTTATATTTTATTACCAGTAAAATATAGCATTCGTGATTTCAATTTTTGTGGTCTATGCAAGGATGGTCTCTATAGGGACCCTGAAAATAATAGAAAATAAAGAAAGTAAAAAAGTATGTTAATTCAATTATACAACCTCCGCAGCAGCCTGAATTTGTACGACGGGCTGCAAAAGAGACTGAAGGGTTATCTGTGGGACATTCATTTATTGTGCGCAAGGAGTTCTAGTTGTATGACTTACACTTTAGTGAGTTTGTTTTTAATAATCCAGTAAATCAGACCAAGTGAACCAGAAATAACAGCAGAGGTTGTAACACTGGCCGCTACAGGAATTATAACTAAAAGAATAATCAAGCGATGTCAGAAAATTTCACGAATCAATACGATAGTCTGACTACCAACCATTTTTCAGCCTGTGGATCTTTGCGTTTGGTACAAACTCCCAGACGATTTCTATTGAATAGAAACAACAGAATTGTTTGAGAAATTTTTGTAAGTTCTTAAAAAGAAGACTGGTTAGTCTCCCTCATTGACGTCACAAGCAGGGATGACGTCACAGGCAATAATGGCGCCACAAGTAGGGATGACGTCACAATCAGAATGACGTCACAGGTAATAATGACGTCACAGGCAGGGATGACGTCACAAGCAGTAATGNAATCAATGATGTCATTTAGTGCAGATTCGGTGAGACGCACCTTTATCATCGCTCTCTTGTCAAACGAGTATTTCAGAGATTTCTGCAAATATAGCGCTCGTTACGTAAACTGACAATACAAATGGCATTGCACGGTCCAACGCCTCTTTCAATGATCCATATATGACACACCTGTTATGTTCGGAGTACACTGTCTTGTCATTGTGAAATTTCCATTGCAGTCCAAACCTCCTCTCGCAGGGGGAGGGGAGTCACATGCTCGCGATCGTTTTTGAGTAGAGTTTGCCATACATTCTCCCCAGGGGGACCAGTCAGAGAAATCWCCATCAACTGCAAAGTATAACACCTCATATCATTGTTCAGGAGGAGCCAACGGGGTCTGCTCTTCTAAATAACTGTTCCTGTACGAATCTTTTCCTTGGAAAGGGATTTTGAGCTACATTGTTGACAATCTCACAAGCAAATGTGGCGCCCTTACTTCTTTAAATTAATTTTGTTCCTGGCAAACGTTTTTTTAAAGGCTTAATATAACGTTTTGTATGGTCAAAAACGGCTTATATTTTTTTTTAGTTAGGAAATTTTTATTTTCCTGGCAAAAAATTCTTAGAAAGTATTCCATGCCTGCATGAGAGTTCTTTTTTTCCTGAATTTCTCGCTGGCAACCAGTTGTGACTTACAGCTGGCTGGGACTTAAGAACAGGTATATTTCTCCCAGGAACCCAATCGGCTCCTCCTAATTGTTCTTAGTGTTCATATGCTCTATCAGTCTATATAGAAGCTAGTTGTGTAAAAGATAAACACCGTAAAAAAGTAGGTGTAAGTAACTTACTTACTTACTTACTTGAGTATGTTACTTCACCTACTTTTTTACGGTGATTAATTTATCTTTTTACACAACTGTTTCTTTAGAAACACCGACGCAGCTCACACTAGTTTACCGCTAGTTCCCACCATTTTGACTATATAGAATCTAGTACTAATACCTGGATCACAAGTGTACAGCTCTATCTTTAAACAAATCCAGTTTTCCCAACTTTGCGGGTTGATTCTGATTTTAGTTGCTGAGAGAGGAAGTGGATGATTGATGATTTCATTCTCATCAGTTGGCGCGTTACTAAAAATCTAATAAACATAATATTTTAGTTGAAAATGATGTCAGTAAAAGGTGCTGTTTTTCCAGCGTTTTTTGACAAAAGGAAGTCGACTGAATCCTAGTCATGGGCAGCTCAAGCTAATAGACAAAACAATGCATTTCTTGCTCATAAATAGAAAAAAATATTTTGCCATTTCATTCACATCAAAGTTTTTAAAAATAAAAAATAAAAAATTAAAAATTACTTAACATACTTTGTARTTATTGCTGTTATCTTTAAAGTATTCCCATGCACCAGTCTTAGTATATGATACCATAAATGACTTGATGTACGTCACAAAGCCGGGTTTATATCCTTGTATGTCAATRCTAGTGACATTCCTCAGTTGACCGAGATTAATCTGTAAATGTTGAAAAGTGTCAGCGGCATTAGCACACCAAGACATGCTCGTATTCACTATAGCTTTGTATGCCTCGAGGTCAGGTGAATTCGATGTGCTTTCTAAAGTCGCTGCGTCTGCCTTCARGATCCCTGAGGTGAACATTGCAGTGCAATCTAAAACCAAAACAAAGGATATCCTTCTTAGCTTGCAGTCTAAAACTAGAGTTTTAACACGATTTTGAGACGCATCAAAACTTGTACCTGCAGGATTCCCAGAAGCACGAAAACATACCGTCAAAAAGACAAAGAAACTTAAAAGCAAGCTAAAAGATCTGCCCTGACGCATTTATGAGGATGGTCTGMAAAACATTCCTTACGTCACAGAAAAACGCCTGACGTCATAAAATAATGTATGACGTCATGTTTGCCAAAATGGAGCCCGCGCGCAACTTTACTATATGGTATTTCTTTATGTCGGATTATAAAAGATTTTCTAAATTTCATTTTGTGTAAGAGTACTAATCTTTTACGTAATAATTTCGTCATATTGAAGAGGTKTTTATATATAACTGAAACTAGTTTTCCTAAAAATCCTGGTATTGCGTAAAAGATTAGTACTTTGAGTTTAAACTCTTATACAAAATGAAATCTTTACTTTTATATATTCAATAGTAAACAGCACAAATACATATACACAGGAACGCAGTATTTTTTTAACTATTGGTCCAAAGGACACTACCCTGGTCCCAGAGGTTTGATATTCTCTCTCTTCGCTATTGTTTTTGTCGGCGCGAAGCGCCGTAATCGAGGCCGTAAGGCCGGCGAAGAGAGAAAATATCAAACCTCTGGGACCAGGGTAAGAGGACACGGAGCCTCCAATAAAAGTGGCTGTATGGAGACTTATATTGTTAATACTTCATGTAAGACCCAAACCGATATATACCCTATACCTAACCCTAATATAGCAATATATTAGAAAGTGCCAATTCATTGGGTCTTACATAAAGTACTGACCTTTTATATATTAACCTACTTCAAACCATACAAATCCAACATGGTGGATATTTGAAACAAACTGCAGAATCGATATAAAACTATATTTCATAACGTCTTGTGAATTTCATTTTCATTTTGTAATAAATGCTTTTGAAGGAGACGCATTAGTATTAATTGTTGTTTTTTCAATTTCATAACGTCTTGTAGAATTTTTCATTTTCATTTTGTAATAAATGATTTTGAAGGAGACGCATTAGTATTAATTGTTGTTGTTTTTTCAATTTTTGGCAAAGCGAGTGGGATTTTTTTTTTGTTAGACACGTAGCTTTATCAATCAGAACACTCGCAAACAGAACTAGTCAAAATACGATTGTACAAATAACCTAAATGATCAGGAAGTAATTGACGCTTATTGGTCTTTGATCAAAAACAGACTTTTTGATTGTTTCCTTGAGGTAAAGATATGAAACAGCGTCTGGAAAAATAGTGAATTCTTATTAGATTACAGTATATTACGAACACCTCTATATTACGGACACCTCTATATTACGGACACCTCTATGTTAAGGGCACCTCTATAACGGACATCTCCACATCATGGAAACTTGTGTATTACGAACACCTCTATATTACGAACACCTCTATATTACGAACACCTCTATATTACG